GATAAGACAGACAGATCAGCAGTATAGAAGTCTGTGTGTTTCTGTCCGTTGAGTCCTTTACTAGAAGTCTCTTGCCTAAGGAGATATGCCATATATGTCATAGCAAGGTTATATCGCAGCAAGACAAACGTTCAGGTCAGTTAAGTTCCTCCGAAGAACTCTTGATGTTTAAACAAAGCGTTCAGTGTAATATTTGCAGATTATGGCATCAAATCAATATTAAATAGTCACTCAAATAATAAATGATACAAATCCCCACAATTAAGTGTGTCTCTGGACTGATTTCAGAGTGTAATTCTACAGCGGGATGTAATACTGAGTACTCTGGTATGGTGGCAGGCTAAGATGATCAAAAGGTAATCGGTAATGAGGCCATCAGCCATGGAAGGGGTGGGGGGGCCACCCAGGCCACGGTTCGACCAACTTTTAGCGCATTAATTTAGCACATTAATTTAGCTAGCTATGCAGTTCAAAAAATAGCTATACAGTTTTAACCAGAATGACAAACACGCATTTGTGGGTTATAGAAATGAATGTGCTAAAAGTTGGTCGGGCCATGGCCCGGGTGGGTCGCCCTGTTCCGTGGCCTGTGAACAAAGCTAACGAAAGCTTGTGCCTGAGGATATAAAATGATCACTTGTGGAGGTCAGGAAATAATTATGCATCCATCTACAGTATTAAAAATGGGGTAGGACAGAGTTTCTGAAGCATCACGCGTTCGCTTTTGCCCGCAGCAGAACGTCAGATGAAATGCACTGATGATCATGTGCGGTATTGCAGACCCCGTGTTCCCACATTGCACGTCCCCCTTATATTGTGATAACAACATTAGTCCGACATACAGGGAAATGCTGAGCCCTTGCTCACCTGAAGCTGTTTCCTAAAATAACCTTCCTTTTCACTTTTTGCATTTTTTTGTAGGCGTTCTCAGTCACTGCTATGTCTGGCCACGGATCTTCGATTCACTCTGCTATCTCCGCCCTGAAGCTTTCCCCCCAGGGTTACCAATCAGCCATCAGCCAGTCTCCCCAGTCCACCTCCAAACAGGACTCCTGGAACAGCCTGGTCTTAGCTGAAAGCCACGGAGACATCATAACTGCATAACCTGTTCCTCTTCCCATGGACTTCCCAACCGCTTGAAATACAAAGAAGACGCCCTGCAATAATAAAGCAATATTGTGGTTTCCCTTTTCTCCCCCCTTCTGTCTCCAGGAGGGTCATCTGTTATGATTGTGGAAGAACAATTCCTAATCAAATTGTAAAGGGAACTTTTCTGAGGTGTGGGAGAGCGAAATACCCAATGAACAGAGAAGACTCGGTCTCAGAACAGCAGTGACCTTTTTCCTTGAAACAAACCTTCATGTATTAGATAGTAGCTATTGCCTCTGGACTGGCTAGAAGCAAAGACAGGACTCAGGTTTTTATAAAACATCAGGCTTTGATGTCTTGGAAGTGATGGCACAGAGACACTTTCTTCTTCTCACCGCCCATTCGTTTCCTGACCAGGTCCATCTGGAAGGAAATGCCATCCTCTTGTTATCACCCAAAGGCACAGACTCAAAGACCTTCTTTGAAATGGAGCCGGCTCCGGGACTTGTTGCACGGACTTCATTAGACACGCGTTCAGTGCTTGAGTGGCTTTTCTCCGACGGTCCAGTTGAAAAACGAAAAACTCGGCTCACCCATCAAGCGACGCATCCAAAACTTTGGGGTTTTTTTGTGTTACCGAAAGGGTCCGAGAACCTTGTGATTGTGCTTATTTAACGGTGCCTGTTTTTATTTTGTTTGTGTCTGAATCGTGGGATCTCCTTTCCAAAAGGCTCTTGCTGAAGCGTGGAGAAGGCCTGTATGAAATTAAAACCAGATAACGGTGCGGCGTGAGTTTTCTGATGGGGAGATCAAGAGCCGCGGAGTTTCTGAGACACCCAGAAGGACCTGCTGGACTCTGCCCTCGGAGGCAGCTCTGAGCCTGGCTTGATGCCTCTCTCGAGCTCAGAAGTGCTGTGATGATATCCATAACTCTGAGGCTGTACTGCGATTGCGTACGACCCTGTGACCTGTCACAGTTAATTTAATTTCTTTGGACCATGTTTTCTGTCGCTGTCGACAAACCCAATTTTCTTTCTGCCAAGCTGCAGCCAGGACCTGCCTCGTGCCCCAAAAGCAGACCCCCTGGCTGCTCTGCTAGGCCCAGCCTTATAAAAGCCCTTATTCTTGCAGGCAACAAATTGTCATCTTCTGTGTCCCCAGCAGCTCTTTAAGGGGTACAGGCAGGCACACTCCCGCAAGCATTTGAATGCAGCTGTGATGTCCCCAGGACAAAGTTAATTCTGTTTTCTTTTTAAAATACTAAACAAGAGGCTGGTGTTTCTCTTGCCCTGCAGACCTGAATAGTGCCCGCTCCAATGCTTCCCTATTAAAGGCCCATCTTCTGCAGCTCGGCAGGGGGGTTTCAGGGAGCCTGTCAGTCAGCGAAGCAAATTCCTCAGTCCCTTTTCCTCCCCATCCGTTCCTAGGTTCCCATCTCTTATCTTGTCTGCCCAGCTCTGCTACCTCTCCAGCACATTTAAAATTCACCTCCCTAAAACATTTAAATATATGGGGGGAAAGGGGTTGTGTCACTCAGACCCCTGTGCAGAGGGGTCCAAAGTATATAGCTTTCTTCTCACACCCCTAGTTCCCTATAACACCCCAAAAGGCCCCCTATAAGTCGAAGGTGGGTTGAAGGGGGCACGGACAGGGGCCAGGTCGAAGCCCTCTTTGCTAAAGCTGCCTTGTGGGATGGGGAGATCGTAACGGAGCTGCACTGACAGGCACTGGGGAGAGGTGTAGCAGCCATGGACCCTTCTTGATCCCCTGGGATCTGGGCAGATCCTTAAGGATCCACAGGGCTTCAGGATGGGGCCACTCCACGGACAAGTGATGATAGTACCCTTGCTGGTCTGAGCATGGCAGGAGATACTGTGATGTACTTCTTAGGAGGACTTCTTGTGGGAGGGGATGTGATTCTGGCAATGGCAAGGAGCAATCCTTCCTGGGCCCGTGGGGATGGAGAGCTTCCATGACCCGGTCGATGTTTCCATCGCTAGCATCTGAGATTCCCACAGACTCTCCATCTCCATCACTGCCCCGGTTCTGTCTTGCAAAGTTCAGTGCAACGTCCTCATCAAGGGTTAGAGCGAGGGGCAGCAAATGGGACATTGAAAAGCTTTGCAGATGATACAGAATTGGTGGTTGTGAGCCAGTGGGGGGCTGGAAAGGGACATCACACCGAGGAATCCAGAAATTGGGAGATCTTGGGGCGCTGCCCGAGATACAAAACCGGGGGACTAAACTACAGGAGCCTTTCCTTCAGTCCGTTAGCAGAATAACACCCCTTCCTTCCATTCAGGGCGCTCAAGCAATGCTCAGAAAGACAAAATGAGGATTTATTATTTGCATTGCTCAGTTGGGGCCCTCTTACATTAAGTCCTGCATGGAGACAGGGTAAAAACCATTCCCCCCTAACAAGCATAATCCTGCAACCTCTCCTGTATAAATCGACTCCTGTGAGTACCCCCAAAAAGCAAAGGGGGTTACTCCCATGTGCAGTTTCGAGACCAGGTCCCAATAAAATCAGACCTCTGTTGTGGGCCATACAGGGGCACGGAGGGAAGTCTGGCGGAGAATGGGGGGTTAGAAAGGTCATTAACCAATTCTGATTGTTTTTCCTCTTTGTGACAGTGCAATATCTTTAATCGCCGCTACATTTGTTTTCCTGGTGATCAGAAAAGATCTGTATTTAGACAGCAATCTCACTGGCTGATTCGAAACTCTGATCAGGAGGAGTTAAAGGCATTTTGACGGGCGCTTTAATGCTGATCAACAATCCTTAATAGAGCCCTGAAGCTGTGACTGCGTTGTGGGGGTTTTGTTCTGTTTTGCTTTTTTGTTGTTGTCCTTCTATAAAGTTTGCAGCTTCCCAAACTCATTGGGAAGGTCCCATGGAAAGAGAGGTGCATTTGTTGCGGGGGGGGGAACCCAAACTGAACAAGCTGTAATTATTTAAAGATGTAAAAAAAACTATATTATAATATGATGTAGTATGGCTACCAATCCACATAATTTCTACACCTTTAGGACTAATGGAAATACAACAATGGTAATAAAAATAATCAAGTTTCCTTCTTTCTTATTTTTTCTTGCACTGAAATAAGTACGTGATGGATCTGCAGTGATTCTGGTTCACGTGTGGTGTGCTGCCCAGCATGGCCTGTGGAGGGTTGAGTGGGCCTTCGTGTCACGGACTCGGCATCAGAGGAAGTCAGAAGACCAGGTTGGGGTGGAGGATGCTTGCCGGTAGCAGGGCTGTATATGTTCTTGAATGACTCACGTGGATTTGGAATTGATTTGGCTGATTTGACTTGGGACACAAAACATTTTACTTAAATAAAAACGATCAGACCAAGAAGGAGGCTCTGGCCAGGGGGAACCAGGGTGACTGGGGGCATGGGTGGGTCCTAGGATCACTTCTTCACCCATGTCTCCTAGCAGAGTTTCACTGGGCGGCATCCGCTGGTTCCTTGGACTCGTTCAAGGGGCAGTGGTCGCTGGGCAGTGTGATCTGCTCGGTACCCCACTTCGAGTCAAGTCAAGTCAGTCCTGAGGCTGCTGCAACTGCTGGGGCACCTTCAATGCTGTAACAACCCTCCTAGGTTAGTTGAGTTGCTGTTCATCATTGGTGATTCTTCGGGCAGAGCGACCTGGTGGCATCCACCTCTCCAGGGATGGATGGCTGTTGGCTCACAGGGAGCTCCTCCGCCCTTTGACAGGTCTTGCTTTTAGCCCTGATGGATGTCCGCCCACCCTCCTCACCTAGGCTAGCTTAGGTGGGGATGCCAGTTTAGTTGCCGACAACCAGACCATTGAACAGGCTGTGCTGGTTTACATGGTACCAGATACCCCCCTTTCAACCCTTGTTTTTATCCTTCCAGCTCTGTTTGATCTGATCTTTTGCTGTTCCCAGAATCTCTTGTTCTGTGTCTGGTGGCCTCCCTAACTCAGGTAGGCATATAGTTTTCTTGGTGGGTCTAGGCCCACCAAACCTCACGTGACGAATAGACGTGTCCCTCACTGTGGCATGGAGCAGATGCTTAGGGGAACTGCATTTACCTAGGGCCTGTCCAGACTGATCTGGATCAGCGCCCTTCATCTCCCAGCATTCGGAGGCCTAGGAAGGCCTTGTTTGGAGGGTTCGCCCTAACTAAGGTGTTTTATACCCACGGATGGAGCATACCCTGGTTGCTTGTTTGTTTGCCTTTCTGCGCACTGCCCTCCCTCCCCCTTCTCCCTCTCCCTGTCCCTTGCTTTTTATATTCAAATTTCTCTGGATACACTGCTTTTTGCGCCTTGCACCTACATGAGAATGTAAGACCTGCCATTTACTGGGTCAGATCATAGATCCATCTTGCTCAGTCTCCAGTGCTACACAGCGGCAGAGAGAGGAGGGTGAAAGGGAGAGTGAATTGGGTACGACCAGGGTTTTTCTCCCTATTCTTCTCCCACTTGTAGCCTCCAGCATTTAAGGTCTGGGAAGGTCTGACACAGAGGCTGTCCCCTAACTGATGTAGATGTCCTTCCATCTGATGAAGAGAACTTCAGCCCACAAAAGTTTGTGCCATATATATGTGTGTGTGTGTGTATTTACACATACATACGTATATATGTGTATATATATACATGTATATATGTATATATATGTGTGTGTGTGTGTATTTACACATACATATGTATATGTGTGTATATCTATACATGTACATATGTATATATATATGTGCGTGTGTGTGTGTTTGTGTATATATATATATATATATATATATGTATGTATGTTTCGACACACACACACCATCCAAAGTAGCGAGATATATATATTGCTACTTGGGTTAGTCTACAAGGTTCAAAACTACCAGCCACCCTGTCCTGTGGCAGTGAATTCCACCAATAATTGCAAGTAAAATGCAAATAAAATTAATTAAATACACAAATCAAATAAGAGCCACCTGCACGACTGGGATTCTGACATGCCCTGACTTTCGATGGCTAGACTTTGAACCCTTCACTGTTTTCTTGGCATGCTTTTCCTTAGCATGCTGTTGTTTGAGCTTTGGCTGATGAATGCGAGATAAGTCTCTCTCGAACCAAATAAGGCTATCCACAGGTAGGTTGATGTGCATGCAATGAGTCCCTGGTGCCGGGGTGAGTAGAGGAGGCTGCTTGTGCCCAGGGGTTGCCCTAGAGAAATCCGTGTACTGCTGCCAGGCCCAGAGCTCAACCCCTGGACAAATCTCTGCAGGACGGCAGCTTTCAGGGATGGTAAGGGCAGCAGATGTGCTGCAACTTCAGATCCTGGCTGCCAGCCTCCCTCTCCACCCACCTCTGCCCAGTATGAGGCTGAAGTTGGTTCCTTATTCCCAGTTCCCTATTCCTTATTCCCGGTTCCGTTTTCAAAGCTAATCTAGAGCCAATAAAAACGTGTTATTAATGAATTCCACATCCTAAAGAGAGAGAATTTCATTAGGTGTGCATATGTACTCATTAATATGTAAAATAATATTCCACATCAAGTACAGAGCCCTAAATGAAGGTCAGATTAGGATTTGGGGTGGCCCAAAAAGTATTGTGCCCCATAATCCCATCCTAATCTGACCTTCATTTAGGGCTCTGTACTTGATGTGGAATATTATTTTACATATTAATTAGTACGTATGCATAGCTAATGAAATTCTCTCTCTTTAAGGTGTGGAATTCATGAATAACACGTTTTTATTGGGTCTAGATTAGCTTTGAAAAAGGAACCAGGAACGGGGAATAAGGAATAGGGAACCGGGAATAAGGAAATGGGAACAAGGAGCCCACTTCAGCCTCATTGCCCAGTTCAGTCTCCAGGACTGGGGGAACTGGTGGGGTGGGTGTGCCCAGTTTTGGAAGCCCCGCCCCTTGCCCACCTGCTGGCCAATTAGGTTGAGACCCAGCTTTTCCTGGGAAGGAGCCCAAGCTGGGGAAGCAGGTGGAGGGGGCAGTGGTGAGTAGGGGCAGGCTGGGCTGCGGGTTGGGGAGAGAGGGGAGGGCTGGGGGGGTAAAGGAGGGGCTGGGGTGGGGGAATGGGGGATGCAAGGAGGGGCAGGTGCCCTGGGGATTTGGGGGGGGGTCCCGTCCGTTTTGCATCTGCAAATACCCCTCTCCCCCCCTCCCCCAGGGTGCAGCGCCCTGCTGCAGCTGCACACACTGCCCAGGGCCGATCGGTTGCTCGACGCTCGATTGCTCCGGGGAGCGGCCGCTCGGTGTTGGACTGAGCAGGCCTGGCCAGGGGGTGCTGCCTGCCAGCTGCAGGGCAGAGGTGCAGGGGTGCAGCAGGGATGCTCCCAGGCCTGGGGGTGCAGGCAGCAGCTACCTCCAGACCCGCTCCCCCCAGGGCATGTTGCATTCTCCGGACCCAACTCTTCTTGTTTCAAAGGCAGATGATTAGTGTAGAGCAGCATTGTGCTGGACAGGTTACAGGCAGCCAAGAAGCCAAGGGCTCCAATCCTTGGCCTTGCCGAGCATGAAGGGGATTTAAAAATGGTCCCCAACCTTTCACTCCCCTGCTTCCCCAGCTCGCACGCAGTGAGGGCCTGGACGTCAGGCCTGCCCAGTCTATGCCCACTCTGCAGACACCTCTAATGTTGAGTGCTGTTGCAATACCACGGTTCGGGGGGTTTCTGTAATGGTGCCTAGTGAACAGCAGCAATTATTATTGTGATTTAAATGAATGAAAGTCTCCTGGCACCTGGACGCAGCCTGCAAACCTTGATGGGGTTGTCTAAATGAGTGTTCAGAATGACTTAAATACTTGGAAACCTGACTCTCCTTTGGTTTTCAGTCAGATTTAGGCTCCTAAGTCACTTAGGCTCTGTGGAAAGTGCATCCTTCTGCTCCTCCTGAGCGTGGCTAGTTACAGAGCGGTGACCCAGGAGTTAAGGTTTGTGTCCCCTTACTCATCGGAGACAGGCAACCTGTCCAGTTAGCTTCTGGCCCGCCAGAGCTCCAGTGTATCAGGGCTCGGACAAAAGTGTGTTCTTGGTGCCCGGAGATTTCAACCGCCCCAGCACGGGATCGGTGATGCACGGTGGGATTTGCATTTTTTTCAAGATCAGTAGAAGCCCCTAGGAGTCAGAGCAGGAAACCAAGCAGCTCGGAGGCCTCTTGCTCACCCACTTCCTCTGTGACTTGGAGCTGCCTGTGGGCATGTCTGGTCCCCAAATTGGCACTGTTTAATGCCAGTGGTTTGCAACTGGTGGAACTAATGTCGTGCAGCCTCCCAAGTGTAGCAGTCATTGCCAGGAATGAGCACCTCTACCCTGATATAACTGCGATCTGTTCTCATGCTGCTGCAGCTGAGTGGCACTGGCATCATGAAGCAGTTTGATCTGAAACAGGGGCATTGGTACAGTCTGCTGCAGCCAACAAACTGAGCGCATCATTTAGGGGGTGCATGGAGATGGGGAGAATCACTGTCTATGTTCCTCAGCAGTAGGGTGACCTGGCTCAAGGCATCTCAGCGGTGTCCCTGCTGCTCCCTTGACGGCATCCAAGATGCCGGAAGGCCCGTCCGTGAGGAAGTTCCAGTTGCTGACCTCGCCTTTCGTGGGGCACGTGGTGGCCAAGGCAGGAGGAAGCAGCCGACAGATTAGCCTGAATGAGCTGCAAGGACTGGAGCTCCAGGACTCCCAGGTGAGTCGTGCTGAAAGGCAGCCTTGTCTGTGCGTGTCGGCTCCTTGCTCATGCTGGAGCACTGGCCTGGCCAACATGGAGAGTGTTACCTTGGAAGGTCACGGCAGTGAGGCACGGCAGTGAGAGATTAACTTGGCTATAGACAGGCTGAAGGGCTACCTACCCTGGCTACAAGGAAAAATAGAAATGCACCTCTGAGTGGACCCCTGGGCACTCGCAGGTGGCTCTCTGTCTGGCTCCATCTGTACTTGTAAGACTGAGCTCCTGAAAAGGTTCAGGTGGAGCAAGACTGTCCATGTGCAATTACCCAGAATGCTTTTGCTTTCCAAATGGTTGGCACTCTGGACAAATTTAACTCCCCAGTGGAAGTTGAGCCTTTGGCCCATCATCTTCCAAGGCCAAAGCATCCTCAGAGGCTCTTGCAGAGAGCTGCCAGCATGCACGGTAACAAACAAAATACGAGCTGTGCTGGAAGCTGTTGGCACAGCAGTGATGTGCTTGAGGTCTCTCCCCACCTGACTGCTCAGAAAGAAGGGGTGTCTTGACCTCCTCACCTCCTTGCTACTGCACAAAAGGGAGGGGAAGTCCTACTGGCTTCGGAGTAGTACCTTTATGCCCGTCCTCTTGTCCAGAAGGCAGAAGTTGGGATTAGATTCACCTTTCCTCCCTGCCCTTGCTCAGGGCTGTTTCATATAGGGGCAGCAGGCACTGCCCTGCCTGAACTGGAGACGAAGCAGCTGTCCTGCAGCAGCAGTGCCCGGGGCCTGTTGGGGAACATTTCCCTGCATGTGCCACATAGGGCTGGAAGGGGCCCGCTGAGCCCCAGCATCCCTTCCCCCAGCTCTTCCTTGGGATTTCCCAAGGCAGAATGAGAGCCAGATCCTGCTGGCCAAAATCACTCAGTAGCCCCCTTTCCAGGATCTGTCTGCAAATGGGGATGCTCGTTCCAACAGTCTTCTGGCAAGCGCAGTGGTTATCAACAGGTGGGTGAGCCCAGGTTGGCTTGGATACAAGCTCCTTCCATCCACTGATGCTGCTGCTTTTCCAGGACCAGCAAGACTGGCTTTGATGAACAACTGCTGCAGCTCCCTCAGCGAGCAGTGCACCGGCACGCCCACCTGGTTCTCAAGGATGGGTGATTTCAGAGCCACATCTGCCCAGGAAGTTGAAGCACCTGGACTGCATTCCCCCGTCCCCAGGCCGTCCTGGTTTATTGTCTTCCTGACTGATCCAGATACTCCCCATCTGAGGAGGTCATTCTCCCTGCTCATCACTTGCAGGCCATGTACTCTCATGGATCCCTCTCCAGCAAGAACACAGACCTACTTTCCACATGACCAAAACCTTCAGCTTGCCACAGACCTCGTAGCTGATGGTTCGTCTCCATATTTTCTCCTTTCCCTTGTTTACGGGGATTGGAAACCTCTCCAAGAAGATCGTTGACTCGCCTCTTCGGCTCCTTCCAGAGATCCCTGACATCTTCAGAGACCTGATGAAGAGCTTTCGAAGCCCAAGAGCTTGTTTCTCATTTCTGTCAACTGTATCCGTTGGTTCAGAGAAAGGTTTTGCCTCGCTTCATAACCCTCTGATATCAGTATCTCTGATTTGAACGTACAATTGAGGAACACGCAAGCCTTCGGATATTCTGAGGTTCTTCTGGTTATCTTTATAAATGACTGTAACCTCAGGATTTGACCTAAAGGAAGTCACTAGTTTAAAATTCATGCTGCCAGGATCGTAGGTCTCATTTTGTGATGAACAGGCACCATCACGCCCAGCCTGCCATGAGCGGGGAGGAGAAGGCACTGAGCTTGCGTGCAGCACACAGCCCTCGTGCTCGGAGGCCACGTGCAATCACAGCTGAGAAGAAGAGAAGGTTTCTCTTCTTCTAAAAGGTGCTCAGTCCTGCCCAGGCCGTGTAGTAACCAAAAATAACTTCCATTTGAGAGCTGTTTGGTGGCTTGTGCCCATAACACTGTAAGTGAAGGTGAGGCGAATAAGGGAAGACCCTTTTCTTACAGCCAGCGGAGAGGTGACTGGCTGAAGAGCCATAAAGTCATAATCTGAGATGCACAAGTTCTTTGTTTCTTGTTGTCGGTGCCGGCAGGGCGAGCAGCTGTGATTGCACGTGGTCTCCGAGCACGAGGGCTGTGTGCTGCACGCAGGCTCGGTGCCTTTCGGGCTTGCATGGCATGAGGGTGTGCTCTTGCCTATCCTAATGCCCCACCTTTTGGCCTGGCAAGCCAAGGTACACTTGATGGGATGACTGCAATGCATGTAGTTTCTGTCTCTTGTTTCCACTGTTAACTACCTTCCCTCCCTCCAGGGAGTTGTGTTTACTCTGGGCATCCTTGATTTGTCCCCACTTTTTTTAGGCCCATGGAAAGAACTTGTTCCTGGCATTTGGCACTGCTGTGGAAGCACAGGTCCTGCCCGGAGGGCCATCTCGGGCACCTGTGGACAAAGAGGCAGCTGTCCCGGCAGAGGCTGGCAGTGGGGCACATGCCCAGGAGGGACAGGCATGGGTGGCTTCTGACCCACAGAGCAGTGCGGAGGAGCAGCATTTGCAAAGGGAGCAGGAGCCTGAGCACTCGACACCTGAGGACCAGGATGCGGCCGTCGGCTCTTGGAGTTGGCTGCGCTTCCATTTCGGCATGTTCGGCAGCGTCCGGGCTAACGAGTTCTCGAGAGCTAATAAGGCAAACAAGCGAGGGGACTGGAAGGACCCTGTGCCCAGGTACTGGCTGATCCCTCTGTTGGGGAAAACTCAGATGCTGTTTTCCTGCCCCAGGCTGAGTTTCTATAAAGAGGTGGAAGCCAACAGGGCTTCCCTTCTGGTGGATGTGTTGCCATTGCTGCCCAGGGTACAGCTATCATGGGAGGCCGGCAGCTGTGCCGTGGAGCCCCTGAAGGGAACCACGTTGCTGCACTTCAGAAACAAGAACGGTGTACCTTGTGGGGCTGTCGTGGGGTGCTTGCTTGGGACCACTGCAGCCTTGCCTGGTCTTTGAGAGTGCCCCAAAACTCACCCAGGTGTGGCTTGTAGAGCGGGGACGGGATCCGTGGCTCCTTACCACTCTGAGACCTGGGTCTTTTGGTCTCACCCTCCCTGTTTCTCCGTGGCCCTCACTCCAGGAGCTGGCATCCACTTATGTGACTTTATACTGGGGAGCAGAAGCACAATCCAAACTTTCAAGGAGCAGGCATGCAGCTCCGCTTCAATAAAACCACCCCTGCGCTGACATGGGGAGCTATTCCTCTGTCCCTAATCCAGCCCACGCAGCCCAGAGCCCCCACTAAACCCCGCTCTGCTCTTCTCTTTCCAGGCTGCTAGTTCCTGAGCCCCAGGGCTCTCGAGTCCCCAGAGCTGCTCCGCTGGTCTCTGTCTCCTTCAGACACCCCCCTGCTTGTCCATGCAGTCTCTCCCCTGGGGGGCCCCTAGGTATTATCTGCAACTCCCTGCTTTTGTTGAAGTGTCAGTAGAGCTGTTCAGTTCTCTGCAGAGGCACGTGTCTTCTGTCCCGTAGGCCAGAAACTCTGCTTTCGCTGTCTCTCTACCCCTTCTTTCCCCGTGCACCAGCTCCAGCATTATTGCAACAGGAACACAATTAACACAGAAATAATTGGGGGAGGGGAGTAGCGCAACCCAGAGGTCATTTTGCTGCTTGCCTGTGCTCAGCAGGAGGATGCCGCAGTACAGCACCTCCTGTCTGCGCTGGCACTGTTCCTGTTGCAATCAGTGGGGCCGAGCTGGGATTTTTCCTTGCCTAATAGTGAAGAAAAACTCTGCCGGCACATTCTGCATCTCTCGGGAACTCTGCTGACTCTTAGGCTACCGTTATTTCTGTTGTTCATTTTTCTCCCTTGATTCCCCCTTTCTAATTCCTTCCCATCTGTGTTTCCTTCCACCTTTATTTCCCACCTCTAGCAGTTCTCACCTCCCAGATCTCTTCTCCATTTTATCTTCCAACCCAATCAGCAATGTCCTAATTGGTTGCATAGAGCCGAGGCCCAGTGAGCTGGATGTGGGTGGGGGGTTCCCTCTGTTCAGCCTGTTGGTAGCCTCTGTTGCTGGCCACGCTGGAAACTTTTGCACCCCACCCTGAGAACTAAATAGGAATCTGAATAGGACAGCAGAGATCCTGTAACTGCCCAAGCACGCTGGGTACATCGTGTGAGCTGAGTGCTCAGGCAGCCTGCCCAGCGGCACCCTAACACCGTCCCCCCAAGGCAGCGTCTTTCACTCTTGCCTGGAAAAACATTGGCTCGTGCTCTGCAAAATCTTCCTTCTCATCGTCCCCCAATGGGCCCTAAAAAGCCCACTGTACCTTCTGGCAGCTCCCTCTTTGCACAGCCAGTCCAAACCTTTCCAGATCTTCCCTACGTCATTTCCAGAGTCTCTCTCCCTCTTTCTTCAGCCAACCAAAATTTTCTTCCTGGCCATCATCCATTGCCATGTTGACCACTGCAGCTATCTCCTCTCTGGCTTTCCCCCGCACACATTGCTTCCTCCCTCCCCTCCATCTTTTTGGCTTTCCGTTGGTTCTCCAGTTTCACTGGACAAAATTCAAGCTTCTTGCGCCAATCTTTGAGGCTCTTCCTGCTTCTGCTGCCCTCCCCTTTATTGGCCTTTGCATCCTTGCCCTGCAACTCAGCTTCTTTGCTCTGCTACCAAAGGCTTACTCACAAATGCCTCCCTTTCTAGACGTAATGTCCTCTCCCTGAGGTAAGCCATACGGGGGCTGCATGCTGCTGGTTTGTCTCTCCAGCTCAGGAAGGAATAAATCCAATGACCATAGATTTCATAGACATTAGGGCTGGAAGGGACCTCGGAAGATCATCGAGTCTAGCCCCCTGCCCAAGGGGCAGGAAGTCAGCTGGGGTCATAGGATCCCAGCAAGATAAGCATCCAAATTTCTCTTGAAGGTGTTCGATGTAGGTGCATGAACCACCTCCGGTGGCAGGCTGTTCCAGACCTTGGGGCTCGGACAGTGAAGAAATTCTTCCTTATGTCCAGCCTGAAACGGTCTTGCTGGAGTTTATAACCATTCGACCTTGTCATCCCTTGGGGCGCTCTGGTGAACAATCGTCCCCCAGATCCTGGTGAGCACCCCTGATAAACTTATAGGTGGCCATCAGATCACACCCTGCGCTTTTCCAGGCTGAAGAGCCCCAGGGCTCTCAGCCTGTCATCGTAAGGTCTGTTTTCCTGACCTCTGATCATGCACGTGGCTCTTCTCTGCACCCTCTCAAGCTTCTCCACGTCCTTTTTGAATTGTGGGGCCCAAAACTGGACTCAGTACTCCAGCTGCGGCCTCGCCAAGGCCGAGTACAAGGGGAGAATGATGTCCTGGGATTTGCTTGAGAAGCATCTATGGATGCAAACCAGCATTTCGCTCACTTTACTGGCCGCAGCATCACACTGACCAGTGGCAATTCAGTCCAAATCTAATAGCTACTTTCCCCCTTGCTATAGAGGCTTCCTTGCCAGAGCTGCTCTGCTCTTGCCACCTCTCTGCCTGATGGTCTTCCTCCTGGCCCCAGGGATACCCCACTTCTTTTAATTGCACTGAGCTCTTTTATAAGAATCAGGCTGTCAGTGGACCATTCCCAGCTGGGTGTGTGTAATGGGGCCTGTCCCCCATTACGAGAAGGTGAGGATGGTTGAAGTAGCCCTTTAGTCTCCCTGGGATAATCCTTCCCCCCTCCCTGCCTTCTGTTTTCCCCTTCTGCCTTCCCTCAAAAGCCTCATTTGCTTTTTGGGATTTACATTTGGACTTCAGTAAGAATGGTCCATGGACAAGGCTGACCCATTGTAGGGAGAGTTTGTGTTAGTAGTTGGGTTGCCCAGCTTGACGTGGGGGTCCTTGACTTTGTAGACCGGGACATGGCTGAAGGGGTGGAGGAGGCCATGAAAAGCAGGGGCAAGGGCAGCACCCCAAAACCCTAACACTTGCAAGGAGCAGTACATAGAGATGGAGGTTTACGCCCAGTGCAGCAGATGAGAAACCAGCGTTGTCCAACGGGAGTGAGGGTGATGGGAGACCGACAGCAGGCCAGACCCTGAAGCCCAGGGGAGGTGTAAAGGGGACGACCTGACTCCAGGTCACCAATTCTGCTTTGCGAGCACATCCAGCTGTGAAGGGAGATTGTGGTCCTGAACACCAGGCTCCAGGTGAACTGGTGCAGCTAGAGCAAACTTGGGTGGGGTGTAGGTGACCCTGACCATACACAGACCCAGCGCTCGACAACCTGGGAAGCCTAAAAAGCGGAGCTCATGTCAGTTTAGCTGCTCAAGGCATGATGGGCAAGTCACTAACAGGCAGCTCAGGAAAGAAAGGTAGCCTGGAGAAGCTCTGGGGAACAAGTACACCCGACCCTCTTCTGGAGTGGCACAGCACGATAATTTCATAAATCGTAGAAAAGCAGGCTGGAAGGAAACCTCAAAGGCCATCTAGTGCAATGCCCCGTCAGAGACGGGATCATTGCTTTCCAAAACGACCTATACAAATCCATTGTCTAATGTATTACTGAGACTACACTGTCACCCCGACACAATCACAAGACATAACACCTAACCTGGCACAGGTAAAGCAGGGGAAACACGGTGGCCAACCTCCTGCTACAGCTCAGGTTGTTAAACTACTTTAGAAAGATCCAAGGAAGCGGGCCAGAGTTCCCTCCTGGCTCCATGCAGCCATCGACAATGCCTGGAATCGTAGGCATTGATCATTGATCATCCCTGACCAGTGCTTGTGGGATCTCTTCTTGCACGCTGCCAGTGATGGAGATGAGTCCACATCTTCCCTAGCAGGCTGCTCCACTGCCTGATTGTACTAACAGTCAAGAAGCGTCTCCCGATGGCCAGTCGAAACCTACTTTGCTGCAGCTTCAGGTCACTGCTCTGTGTTCGGCTCTCTGCAGCAAGAGAAAGGTGCTTTCCCATTTCTTTACGGCACTCCTTCAGATCTTTGCAAGCTGCTGTTGTGTCCCCTCTTAAGCCCCTTTTCTGCAAGCTGAACATGCCTATTTCCTTCAACCTCTCCTCATATGATTTGCCTCCCAAGCCTTTTATCACCTGATTTTTGTTATCCATATGCCCACTACCAGGACTGTATTTCTTCTAAAAGGAGCTCTCCCCTAGAAAAGCTCTCCTCGCAGAGACCTGTGTAGAGGCCAGAGTCTGCGCCAAACTCTTCCTACAAATCCCATCCCCAGACCCAGTTCTACTGTGAGACCTACGGGCCAAATAGTTTCTAAGGTCAGAAGGGACCTTGAACAGATCATCAAGTCCGACCCCCTGCCCTGGGCAGGAGTGAGTGCTGGGATCATAAGACCCCAGCCAGATAGGTTGCGTGGCTGGAGAGATGTATGATTCTGGGTGGGGGAGGGGGCTGGGAAACCCCAATCTGTCAGATCATGGGGAGCCCCTGGATGCCATCAAGTTTTGCCATAGCTAGTCCTGTACAAGGGATTGCCATAGCTAGTCCTGTACGAGGGATCTGATTTTGTTTGCTTCATGTGCCTTACTCCATTCCCCCTTGTTTCTTGTTCCCCTCCCTTCCTCCTCTCTGCATGTCCAGTCAAGCCACGGTGGGATGCGATGGCTCCTGTGCCATGTTTTGCCCAAATAGACACATTCAGGGTATTCTCCCTCTAATTTCCATTCTCTTCCCTTTAAGGCTGGTCCTGCACTTTGCGAAAGGGGGCTTCCTCGTCTTCTACAACTGCCGAATACACTGGAGCTCCTCTCCGACGGCCAAACCCACCATTGACATCTTGTCTGCTGACTTCCATCGGGGGCAGGCTTTGGAAGCCCTTTGCCGGCCGATGCCCATCTGCTACACCCTTCTGGACCAGAGATATTTCTCGGGTCTGGGTATGTTTCATCAGGGAGGGGGAATGGCCTCCGAAGGGGGAGACATCAGGGCTCAATCTGACCTGGATCTCATATCTATCATCAGGGGCTGACCCTGTGTGTTAGCTGTCCCCTCTGAGACATAAAGCTAGTCATAGTCTTGCTTGTTCCTACAGGACCGTCCATGCATGGATGGGCCCATGCTGTACAAACAGGAATGAAACAGGGCCTGGTGCAAACATGCCCACTTGAGCAGGTGCTACAAATGCTCAGGTGCTCTGAAAACCGGGCTGGGAAGCTTTCTATCCCAGTGGGATATATATGGGTATAGTCATCATTGTGCAGAGAGAGCAACTGGGGCATGGTGAGGTTACATGAGTTCACTAATAGCAGGGTGACCTTCCATCCTGTTTTCCCCGGGACAGTCCCAGATTTTGGGCACTGGTTTCAGCCAGGTTAAAATGATCATCCCAGGTGTGGGGCGCAGTGTGGCAGGGATGGGAAGCGGTGCGGTGCCCCAGGAAGGCGACTGGGGAAGAACTGCCGCTGCTCTGCCTGCCTGTTGCGGATGCCACTCTGCCTCCACCTCTCCCTGCAACGCGCCGCTGACCTGGGAGTGAGGGAGGGGAGAGGAAAGGGGGGTGTCCCGGATGTTTTGTATTTCCCACTGGATGGATGGTCTCCCTAACCAATGGCCACTGTGGGACTTGGTGTCAAAGCCATGTTTGACATCAGCAATCCCTCGCTCTTAATGTGTTTAGATGAAACTCTGCTGTGGGTTTCACACAGCCAGGTACATTTTACAGTGGTGGGCCATCATTAGTAGAAAACATTATGCTTCTGTAACATCCTCTCAGCCCTATCAGGATCATAGGCTGTCCCCTCAAAATCAGAGGAGCAGGAGAGTCTCTCTGCCCTGCGGCCATAGCCCCTCCATGCCTGCCATAGTCCTCTCTCCTCTTGTGGTTCCTGCCATGGGGGGAGCTCCCTCCCAGAGCCCCACAACCACTGGTCGCATGTGGGCCAACTGGTCTGCCCCTATGACTTGCAGGAGTCAGTGCTATTGGTGCTGTCACAGCTCCCATGCCCACGTGTGTGGATCCAGATTAGGAGTGCTGCGTGGCTGCCCCCTGCATTACCGTGGGGAGAAGGGGCTATCACTTGAGCACCCCTGGCTTAGTTTGCCGGCCTGTGACTCACTGATGTGAACGGTTCTTGCTGTTGCATCTTCATTTCTGAACTTCTGCTTTCCCCTCTGCTCCAGGGAACATCATTAAAAATGAGATCTTGTACTTGGCGAAGATCCACCCATTATCACAAGGGTCCCTCTTGGCTCCCTCCGATCTCGACGCCTTGCTTGATCATGCCGTTCAGTTCAGCACCCACTGGCTGCATAAGAAATTGCATGGGGAAAGATTACACCCTCAGATCTACCAGAAGGAGAAATGTCCTTTTGGGCACATGGTGATGAAGGGAACTCTTGGTCCCCCACATGGGCTTCAGAGACTTACCTGGTGGTGCCCTCAGTGCCAGCCTCGTGTGCCAGCAGAAAGTAAAGGTCATCCTCCTGTGTATACCCCTATATCTTCCAGCCTTTAAAAGGATTGAGAACATGCTGTCCTTTCTTGGAGAACATTGCATGAGGCTGAGGATGGCTTGCAACAAGCTCTCAGTTGCACTGAGCAGAAATCGCTTGTCTGTGAAGACAGAAAATCAGAGAAAATTCAGTTTGTTAAAAAGAGATGAAAGGGTTTCTATGTCCATGTTGCATTGCAGGGATCAGTGCAGCAAGTAAAGGGAGTTCTCTGCAACAGTTGAAAATACTCGGTACCGATTTGTGGATAAGGGGTTTAATATGTAGCAATTGAAAAGAAGTTAATTGTTAATATGTTAAATGTTAATTTCATGTTAAATGTTAATTGTTAATATGTTACATATGTCATGACCATAAAGCAGCATCAGTAGCATCAGCATGATAGCTGTTCTCCTGATCACCTTGTTTTTATGTTGATGTTCTCCTGCTCATCTTATCTATTTTGTCCTTATTAGGGATAGGAAATCAGATCTTGTCATCGTTACGGAGTTAAACGAGGTCGTCTTAAGCACCTCCTTGGAAAAACCTGTAACCAACACCTGAGCATCTGTGTTTGCTAAGCCTCTCTGTCTATGCACAACAATTAGTCAGGTTTTATTTATGACCCTCCCTGTAAATAACAGACTTGCAGTCGATGTTTCGCTCTTTCTGTGTAGCCAACTTCAAGCAAAAGCTTAAGTTCTGTCAAAATGAGCTGGTTTCATTCTTCAAGGAGATTCCACCTCAATTTGGGCTGGGGAATGGTAACTGTAGATGTAATATATCTGCTAAGATGCATATGATGGGCTTATTTAGCAACCAGGAAAAATTGGCCAGCAGGCTGCGGTACTGGTGTCACAGGGAACAGTGTGCTAACTGCCCCTGTTGGGACTCCGAATGACAAGGTGACTGGTCTTAATCGGGTGCTAACAGGGAGGTACCCCTGAGTTGCACAGTGTTCCTGGCTGCAATAGTAATCAGGCTTATTTCATTTGAAGCAGTCCCTTTGTTACAGACATTATTTGGTGTGTGCAAGATCTGAATGGTGTCCCGCATAACCAGAGTCTATAAATTGCAGGTGAAATGGGTCACGAGCTGTCTAACCAGCCAGGCTCAAAAAGTAGTGGACCCCGGGGAATCCTTTCCAAGTGGAGTGTATCTAAACATGATGCGCAGGGGGCCGTACCAGGCCTATCAAGGTTTTCACCAGCGATCTGAAAGCAAACATAAAACCACTGCTGCTTCATGTGCTGGAAGCAGGGGCTGGCAGAGCTGAGGGCACGGCAGTCATGCAGAGACCTGCAGCCCTGGCTGCCCTGGAAAGGACGTGTGTTTTGAGGCAGCCGAATGCAAAGTGGGACATGCAGGAACAGACACTTGCCCAGGACAAGGGTTCCCCCGAGATAGATCTGAGCGGGCCGCGAACAAGCAGGTCATTGTGAGCTCCCTATGCAGGGCTGGGCCAAGGAGAACTACTAGGTCTGCAGGGTGTTGCACCAGGACCTGAGCACAGCAGGAGTGAGACTCAGACTGAACCGGCCTCTCATTTTCCTGTCCCTGGTCTAAGAATGATGTTGACAAATTGGAGGGTGCAGGAAAAGCTGTGAAAAAATACCTTGGGACTGAAGGAAATGCCTTCAGAGGTGTCCATGGCACCCCTGGATGTGCTGCGTGGCCAGAGGTTTGGGCTTTGGCTGAGGGAGAGGAGTTGGTGCAAGTAGTGGGATCTCCAGAGAGTCGGTGCAGGCCGTGAGTCAAGAGGGCAGTGCACTGTGGGCAGGGACAGGGCCACCACAGCCGGGCCATCAGGCTCTTGGTGTGTGACCCTGGGTGTGGGGCTGTGCAGAGAGGCAGAAGAGGACCTTGGATAAGCAGGGAACCTCGGGCATGAGGTGGGGGTGTCTGTGTTGGGGTGGGGGCATAAGGGGTACCCCTGGGAGAGAGGTATGGGTGGGGGGGATGGGGACTCTGGGCTCATTGACTCCCTCAGGAGTCCCTCCTGGGCCCTTTACAAAACCCAGCATTGCATCTCCCTGTGAAGAGCTGCACTTCAGGGGACAGACAGAAGCACTCACTTTCTGTGTGACATTGAGAGGCCAAGTCCAGGAGGGTGTTCCACTAGTGTGGTTACAAGGGATGCAAGTAGTGTTGCCCTGTGGGGTTGGGCCAACTCTTAGGATCTCAATATTGTGCTAATATTGTATAGACAGGAGGGTGTGACACAATTGCACATATACAAACACACAAATCAGTTAGGTGCATATACACACACATTACCAACTCAGGCACATACACATCCAAACCAGCCTAGGCACATGCATACCTATCACCAATTCAAGCACATACACTGTACACCCCAAAAGTTAGACAAAAATCAATTGTCCATACTAGCACACTCAGTACACATACACAAATCATTAATTCATATATCATATACACAATGACTTATATATATATATAAACACACACACTCACCAGCTCTCACACATACAATCCACCTACACATACATTCAGGTAAGATCCTAACTTGGATGGTACAGTGTGTATGTGTGTGCTTGCGGTACCTGGGATACTTGGAGGAAGGTTAAAGTGAGAGAGAGAGTTAAAGTTGCCAGAACCAGGATTAAAACTGGTGGACTACAGAGAAGCTGGCTGAGGAGCTGAGGCTTGGGGTTACTCATGATCAAGTGGCCCCAGGGCTACTTGAGGTCACTGGTGCAAAGGGGAAAAAAAAAGCCTGGTAGCAAGCAGGAGACAGCCAGGAAAAAGAGAGACACAAAAACCTGGGAGCTTGGGGCTGGAAACTGAGGCAGACAGCTGAGATATTGGGGGGGTGGGGGGCAGGCATATAAGTGGTGGCAAGGAGGAGACAGCCAGGAAAGAAACTGAGGCAGAAACCTGGTTGCTCAGGGGAAAAGGCAGTGGGGATAAGACAGTGGCAAAGAAACAGGGGGTTGGAGGCAGAGAG